TTGGAAATTTGAGAGCTTGGAATTTTGAGAGTTTGGAAATTTGAGAGCTTGGAATTTTGAGAGTTTCAAGGAAAAATTGGAGAATGGTTGAATTTGAGGTTTTGGGATTTGAGAAGTTGGAAATTTGAGAGCTTGGAATTTTGAGAGTTTGGAAATTTGAGAGTTTGGAATTTTGAAAGTTTGGGATTTGAGAAATTAGGGATTTGAGAGTTTGGAAATTTGAGAGCTTGGAATTTTGAGAGTTTGGAGTTTTGAGAGTTTGGAAATTTGAAAGTTTGGAATTTTGAGAGTTTGGAAATTTGAAAGTTTGGAAATTTGAGAGTTTGGAAATTTGAAAGCTTGGAAATTTGAAAGCTTGGAAATTTGAGACTTTGGAATTTTGAGAGTTTGTAAATTTGACAATTTGTAAATTCCAGAGTTTGAAAATTTGAGAATTGTATCCAACTCAATGAGTAACAACTCCTAAAACCTCCCTCATTCCAGGTGGTAGTACCAAAGAGGGCAGCTCTCCTGTTCGACCAGCTAATGGTCGCCCTACAAAAGGTGGTAGACAACCAGAACCGAGAAAACCTCGGCAGTAGCAGATCATTCTCGAGATCTTCTCCCCGTCTCTCAGCCGACAGCTCTCAAATCGTTTCTCCAGCAGACGAACAAACGGTGAAGGTACACTTGCAACTTCCGCTCAATTACAACTACAATCCTTAACTTTCTATCCATCACAAAAATATCTCCATCAAACTAAAATAAATGAAGTTCAATTATACTTCAGATGGATCTCCAACGACGAGGCCAACCAAAAGGACGAGTCTACTGGCGCTGTTACTTCAACGCGGTGACATGCTTCAAGAGAAAGTGATAACGAGCCGGTGTAACCAGTCTGTAATCGCGACTTCAAGACCCGACTCGACCACGAGATTCCTCGCATGCTTTTCCCGTTCAGACAAATAAATTGCGCTTGGGACAAGCGCGATCGTGACTCCGTTTAATTCTCTAGTTTTCCGAGTCGGGAATTGTCTCCCTCGCGGATCCATCATCTTTCTTTCTCTCGTCGACGACCGCTGAGGCAACGGATCTACGAAACATTGTCAACTATTTATCTTATAAAATGATCGGCATTCGATTAAACGTACTCAACAAACGCAGCAACGCAAACACGAAACGATTGGTACTCGCGAAAACACACCCGAACCCTATCCACATCCCGAGTCCGAAAGGTAAGTTTTGATAGACACGAGGTCTTCGATGGGTATTGTATCGAATAAAGTGATTGATTACTCAAATTACGTGTACGGAGAACGGTGCTTTTATTTATTGGGTCGAGTCGCTGTCCCCCCTGACCGCGGACAACCTTTCCAGACACAGCACCAGTTCGCAGTGCTTCGTGTGTGGAAACATGTCCACGGCCACTGCCTTTACAGGAACCAGCGGCTCGCCGATGTACTGCTTCGACGTGGGCCTCGCAAGGTCCACCAGGTTCTTCGCCGCAGCTCGAGGGTCGCAGGAGACGTAAATTAGTCTGGACAACTTTCTCGCCTTGCGTAGAGACAACAACGCTCTCTGATCTGAAAGCAATTTCATTCAGCACAATATTCAAAGAACGATTAATCGCGTGTCTTACGGAGCCCAGCTCGTGGAGGATCCACCACAGCGATGACATCGGGTTTCGTGGTTCTGTGTATAATCGGAGACAGTATGTCTTCCGCTTTGCCGACGAAGAACTCGCAGTTTGTTATCTGATTCGCGACAGCGTTCTCCTTAGCGTCCTCAATAGCATCCTCCACTACTTCCACTCCGAACACCTCGCTGCAGTACTGCAAAGGAACGACGTTAGCTTTCTTGCGGAATCAGGAGGAGCGTGGTACCTTTGAGAATGCGAGAGCTATTGTTCCTGTGCCGCAGCAGATGTCCAACAGTGCGGTGTCCGCGGTGGGTTTTGCTAAGTCGATCGCTGCTTTGTATAGTTCTTGAGCGCCTATTGTGTTCACTTGGAAGAACGCTTGAGGAGAGACGCGGAATTTCATGCCCAACAAGGTTTCCTCTATGTATCTTGTTCCGCTGATGTGGAAATAATTATCTCCTCCTTTTGAATCTGCGCTTCTGAGGAAAATAGTACCATTTTATTCATTGCAGACATTTCTTGCATTTCCTTTAATGTCCTCTTCATTAACCTTACTTTTTATTCATTATTTGGAAATATAAGGATGTTACGTGAACCTCTGCACCCTTTCCAGTTTCAAAAAATTGTTTAAGTTGCAATTTTATCTCGTCCAGTTTTTCTGAAGTCAGGTCTTGAGGATGCACAGCCACTATTACCATCAGATCACTGCCAAGAGTGGTTCTGACGGTAACTTGTCTCCAGTAACCGGTGTGATCGACCGGTTCAAAAGGTTTCAGTTCAGAATCTTGCATGAACTCTTCTAGAACCTAAAATGTACTTTACTCAAAGAATCTGGGAGGTGAATTTGAAGAACTTACTTTGACCACGGCTTTCATTTTATCAGGAATGTGACAGAGATGGTCTATGGGTCCCACCGCTGTAGAACCAGCGGCGTAACTAGATAATCTAAAGCCTATTGTAACTTTATTCTTTTCTGTACTTCTGCCTGTACCAAAATAATATTATGTATTACACGATTTCTATGCTTTTATTTAAATGGATCTGCTTTTGATTTACCAACTGTAAATTCGCATTTATTTCTATAACCCGTGGTTACTTCTGTGCTGAGAATGGGAAGCAATTCACAAGGTAGGCCTTCATATTTTTCTTTTTGTTGTTTGAGCCAATCTAGGACATCCTTCCTGCTTTCGTTCAACATTTGATTACAAATATTTGTTAAGATATGTCTCATTTCTTTCTGTTTTAATTCCAACTAAAAATATAACGTGATTTATCCCTGTTATTTTCTTGACTGTTGGTTATCTTACTTGACTTGAATAAGGCACATCCCAAAGTGGTGTTGTAGTGAATTTAACTTTGTCTTCTATAGAAATACTCTGAGCATCTTCGTCTACTTTTAGACGTTTACGTTCGGTTTCTTGTTCTAGTTTTCTTTTTATAAAAGGATCTGGAGCTGGTTTAGCTATCTGTTTTGTAGAGATGAAATAAGAATGTGCAACAGCAAATGCATGATAATAGAATGTAAACAAAAATGATGATTGATGATACCTGAGCATTAAGCTTACAATTTTTCCATAAAATTCCATTCAACTTTTCTATAGCTTTCTGACGACTTTCTTCGTTTCTGAAAGACACGTAAATCCATCCGCTGCTTCGTTTCGGTGGTTTTATCTTGCATATTTGCAACTCCAGCTTCTCGTTTAGAAGCTTTTTAAATTCACCTATCCCATAATATTTTGGTAAACCGCGTACCTCGATCTTGTATCTTTCCGATGTAAAATCATCTCTGTCGAGATACGCGTAAGGATTTTTTTCAGGTTCCGTAGTTTCGCTTGTAGCCATAATTTTCAATTTTATTTTAACTATGCTTCACACAATTTACCCATCAACTGTACTTCTTTAATTATTCAAAATTTTTAGTTCATATTTCAACTACTTGTTCGTTAAATTCACGTGTGTACCTTCTCACTGTTAGGTTAGGTTCTTACCGCGCCTAACCTTTCAAACGCAATGTGTACAAACTAAAGTGAAAATGATTGAAAGGCATTTAGATTTGATACGCGACAGAGATTGTAGACAGGGTGACATCTCGACTTAAGACAACAAGACATTTTCAACTGATGTTGAAAGAAAAACAAGTAAATATTTAAGAATTCTAAACTTTACAAAAAGTTTTATACTTTGAATTATGCGGTATCGTACTTGCCACAAATCTGTATAAATTTGTTACTAATTGGTTATTTATTGCATTAAGATATTTCAATTATAAGGTTCTATGCAAACTACATTCCCTTATCAGTATTTTTTTTGTTCCGTTATAAATGTAGAAGTATTACTTCTCTCCTCTTTAAATTATTCATAAGATGAAACAAGCTAAAAGCTGTTACTTGAAAAGTAATGATAAAACACTGAAAACAGTATATCTGCCGCATCAGGAGCCAATCATTGTGGGACGTAACCCAGATACAAATATTACGGATACACAGTGTCCCAGACAGCAAGGTTAACATTTCTTTGCATATATAATTAATTTTTTTTAATGTACTTCATTATGTATGTCATATATAAGTTATTTTTTTTTTAGTAAGATTATGCGCTGATTATGAAGAGCATAAAGTTACCATTCAACAGATTGGAAAAAGATCCTGTGGTTTTAATGGCTTTAAAACAAGAAAAGACATTAAATTTATAGGCACTCATAATGATTGCTTAGAAATTTTATATGGAAAATACGTATATCAAATTGAGTTTAATCCCCCACCTCCTAAGCCTTGCTTACCAGAAAAAAGAATCAGAGAACCAGAAGCCTGTGATGATGCTGCAAAATACTCTTATAAAATACCAAAAGTTGAATCTGATGACATAGACAGTAAGGAACAAATACAAGGGCAGATAGAAAAGAAACATAAAAAAAATACTGATGGTATTTTAAAGTATATTAACAGGAAAACAAATTCAGAAAATATGTCAGATCAAGTTGGAGAAGGTACTTGGGAGAGTATAAACAGTGGAGCATTATTAATATATACTTCACAGGGTGTGGAAGGCCGTTCAAAGGTGATTAAAAACAATATCAACATTACATATGCAACAGGCCAAACTAATTTGCTTTTCAGATAGCTGCATATGATATGGATGGAACTTTAATAACAACAAAGTCTGGCTTAGTATTTCCAAAAGATTATGATGACTGGCAACTTTTATATTCCGATATACCTAATAAATTGAGAGAGCTTCACAAATCTTCTTACAAAATAGTTATTTTCACTAATCAAGCATCAATTGGAAGTGGAAGACTAAATACTAACTCTTTCAAAAATAAGCTTAAAAATGTAGTACAAAAAATTGGAGTTCCTATGCAGGTATATTTTGTTGCGAACTGATATATATCAAATAAAATTGCTATATGTGTTAACTTATTTGTAGGTTTTCATAGCTACTGGAAATAGTATCTACAGAAAACCAGCACCTGGCATGTGGCACAAGTTGCAAGAAGTCAGTATATGATTTACTGTTGAATAAGTCTGTACTTAATATTAATTTAAACAATCTCTGTGCAGTACAATGACTCTGTGATCATCGATAAAGAAAATTCGTTTTATGTGGGAGATGCAGCTGGACGAATAAAAAATTGGGCTCCAGGCAAAAAGAAAGATCACTCATTAGCAGACAGATTATTGGCACTGAATCTAGGCTTGAAATTTTATACACCTGAAGAACATTTTCGTGGACATGGGCAAGCACAATACATGATGCCTGGCTTTAATCCAACAGATTTGTCAAATAAAGATATTTGCACAGGAGCCAGTTTAACATCAAGCAATCAAGAAGTAACTAAAGTATTATTATACAATGTTTGATACATTAATTATAGTATTAAACAAATATACTTTTAGGTCATTTTAATGGTTGGATGTCCTGGTTCTGGAAAATCACATTTTGTAAAGAACCATTTAAATCATTATGAATGTGTAAATAGGGACAGTCTTGGCAGCTGGCAAAAATGCATTAAAATGATGGAAAAACACTTAATGGAAAAACGAAGTGTCGTTGTAGACAATACTAATCCTGACTGTGCATCAAGACAAAGATATATTGAGGTAGCAAAACGATATAACGTCTCTGTGAGATGTTTCATAATGTCTATAAGTGTTGATCATGCGAAACACAATAATAAGGTAACAACAATAATCTTGAATAATGTATTACAGATTCTTTACTAAAGTTTATGTTTCAGTTTCGAGAGTTAACTGATCCTAGTCACGCGAAAATCAGTGAAATAATTATTAACTCTTACATGTAAGTAGAACATAAAATAAATATTTATGAAATCTATAAATTTGAACGTTTTCAGGAACAATTATCAATTACCTACACTGGATGAAGGATTTGCAGAAATTGTTCACATAAATTTCGTACCATCGTTTCAAAAAGAGGAAGATCGAAAACTTTATGAAATGTATTTACTCGAACATTAGAAAATATTTTATTAAAAAGTACGCGTGTTTTTATGGCACAATGAATTTATAATAAAATTTGATATTTATTCTGAACTAATAAACGAATCTCACTTAAGTCTATATGCTTGTTGTTCTATAAAACCTCCCTTCTTTTGATTGTCATAAACAGATATATGTATTTGTTTTCAACATGTGTTGAAACACGCACACATAGAAGTGCACATCCACGTGCTCCTGTCCTTTTCAAAATATGAGAAAACATAACCTCTTCAAAACCGCGTGTATGATCTGTCGTTGACATCAAAGAGAAGATAAAATAGGAAAGTAATAGATCTTTAACCAGCAGTTATGAATGATACAAAATGTCGCGACTGATAGTAAAAAATTTACCGAAAACTGTAAGTAATACAAATGTGATGATAAGAGTAAAAATTGAACATGAAAAATTTAATAGATTACAGATAAGAAATTGAGGGAACATTTTAGTCAGAAAGGCCTAGTGACAGATGTACAATTAAAATATACAAAAGATGGTAAATTTAGGCGATTTGCGTTTATTGGATTCAAGACAGAGGAACAGGCTCTTGCTGCCAAAGAATACTTTGATAAGACGTGCATCGATACTTGTAGAATAACTATTGAACAGTGTGCAAGTCTAGGTATGGTCCAACTTTAATCATAATTATTTATAAGTAATTAGTATTTATGTTTAATACACTTAATTTTGTAGGGGATTCTTCTAAACCCAGGGCGTGGAGTAAATATGCTCCTGACAGTTCAAAGAGTTTGGAAAATGATAAGAATTCTAAAAATGAAAGTTTAAGCGAAACAACAGATGAAAGCAAAAAGGAGAAAAAGAAGAAGAAAGATAAAAATGTAGCAAGTGAAGTTAAAGAAGCATTGGAAAAAGTATAATCTTTGTTTAATATATTACATATTTTATTTATATATAGTATATCTGTACTATGATTATGTTTTTTATTTAGCATAAGGATGATCCTCTATTTGTGGAATTCCTTGAAAGTCACACATCAAACAAAGCAGTGTGGAAGAACGATACAACATTAATAACCGATGAAAATGAAAAGCAGGAAGATAAGGAAGAAGAAAGTGATGAAGATGATAGCAAAGAAGAAGAAGAAAAAGAAGCAGAGGGGGAAAAGAAAAAGATTGCAGATAAAGCTTTATCTGACTTACAGGTAAATTCAGGTACCATGAACTTATGTCCAGGACAATACCTCCAAATTAATGATGCTTAATTACCGAACAGTATATGGAAGCTCTAAAGAAAAAAAAAAAGAGTACAGAATCAAAAGAGGAAGGAACAAGTGATGTTAAAAAAGCACCAAAACATGGCCCTGTGGAATTTTTTACTGTAAAACTTAGAGGACTGGCATACAATCATAAAAAGAAAGATATAAAACAATTTTTCCGTCCACTGAAAGCGAAATCAATTCGAGTACCACCAAAAATCAAGGGAATCGCCTACGTCGGTTTTAAAACCGAGCAGCATCTGAAGAAAGCGTTGTTAAAAAATAAAAGTTTCATAGGTACATACTAATTGATATAAACAACAATTTTACCTGTTTTATACTTCTGTTTATGTCTGCACAGATGGAAAACAGATATTTGTTACAAGGTACGAGAAGTCTGAACAAATCAATGATGAAAAAAATGAAAATAATGGCGACGTTAGATGGAAAAAGCAGGAGGAGGCATTGAAAGATGAAGAAACCATAGCAGAGTCTGGAAGAATGTTCGTTCGAAATTTGTCTTACACAACCACAGAGGATGATATTCGAAAACTTTTTGAAAAATATGGTACATATTTTTTTAAGCTGAACTTTTCATTATGTTAATTTTATGCTTGTTCCTCAGGTCCCTTAACTGAAGTGAACCTACCCATAGACAAAGTAACCAGAAAACCAAAAGGATTTGGCACAATAACATTTCTGATGCCTGAACATGCTGTGAAAGCCTACAGCGAATTGGATGGTTCAATTTTAGATGGCAGAATGTTGCATCTCCTTCCTGGAAAAGCAAAATCCAGTCCCTTGGAAAACCTGGATGAAAGTAAGATCTACTCCTAATTGCACTTGCATAGAATCTATCACATCTACAGTGTATGTACTTTCCACAGAAGACCTAACGTACAAACAGAAAAAGGAGTTGAAAGACAAGGCTACTGCTGGCTCATCGCACAACTGGAACACCCTATTTCTGGGTCAGAATGCTGTAGCTGATGCCATAGCCTCCATGTACAGCACAACAAAGGAGAAGGTTATTAAAATAAGATTGAAATAATTTTCTGTAGCTTAACATAAAATATTTGCATAGGTGCTTGAAGATGGGTCAAAGGGTTTGAGTGCAGCAGTGAAACTGGCTCTGGGAGAAACTCAGCTGGTTCAGGACACCAAGAACTTTTTGGAGGAGCAGGGTGTTTGTTTGGATGCATTCAACCAGGTAAATCTTTTCAAAGATGGGATAAATAATCCTCTAATCTTGCATGGAATAAATAATTGAGGAGATATTTTTCAGGCACCAAGTAAACGATCAAAGACAGTGTTGCTAGTGAAAAATTTACCTGCTGCAACCACAGTTAGAGAAATTCGACAACTGTTTGCACCTCATGGGGAGTTAGGGAGAGTCGTGATGCCACCATCAGGAGTAACCGGTACCTCAATCTCACACGTGTATCAACATTCCTTTTCTCACGGTTCCTGTTCTTTTTTCCAGCTCTGGTGGAATTTTTAGAGCCTTCAGAGGCGCGTAAAGCGTTCTCCAAATTAGCATACACTAAATTCAAGCATCTACCTCTTTATCTGGAATGGGCGCCAGACAATAGCTTTACTGCCCCTGCGAAGGCCAGCGACGTTAAACCGGAACAGAAAACGGAGAAAAAGATTGAACAGAAGAATTTGAAGGTAGAAGAATCCGCAGAAAATGTGAAAGATGAAAATAAGGAAAAAGAAGAGAGCGAGGAGGAGGAGGAGTCTGAACCTGACACCACATTGTTTGTGAAGAATATTAATTTTGCGACTACGGAAGAGCAACTGCATTCGGTATTTAAACTTGAAGGTGTAATTTTCTTCTTTTTCTTGAACATTGTAATTTTAGTACTTCAGCAAATGCGGTCCGCTTAGCTACGCCAGCATAGCGACAAAGAAGGACGTAAAAAATCCCGGCGGCAAATTATCAATGGGCTACGGTTTCGTGCGCTACAAAAGAAAAGCTGACGCGGATCGCGCGCTCAAGGTGTTGCAAATGACCGTGCTAGATGGGAAAACCTTGGAGCTGAAACGTTCCGAAAGAACGTTAACGTAGGTTTCAAACTTCAATTGCAAACATTTTCGATTTTAACTATGTTTAACTCCTTAGAACCGACGTGACGAATGCGAAAAAGACGTCCAAAGTTACGGAGCAGACTGGCACGAAAATCCTGATACGAAACGTGCCGTTCCAGGCGAATGTTCATGAAATAACCGAACTCTTCAAGTACGTAGTTTCTGAATGAGTTTTCAAACGAAGTATAACGTTGTAGTATAACTTTAATATTGTAGGGCGTTTGGGGAGCTGAAGGCGGTGAGGTTACCACGGAAATTGGTTGGCGTTGAGAAACATAGGGGATTTGGATTTGTGGAGTACTACACCAAGGGTGAGGCTAAGGTATTGAAATGGATTTTTGATGCTAAAATTTTTCTTAAGCTTTTAAGGAAATAAAAACCTTAGTGCTAAGCTGTAAATCTAAATTTACTAACTTAAAGTCATTGAAGTCTTATTAAGGTCTGTATGAGGAGTGACTTCAAGGTGAATATAGCCACCACATGTACCATCATGCATAAAGAGCAAAAGATGGTCCTCAATCCAACTAATAAATTAATACTGGGTTTATATGCAGCTTCAGAAATTAAGTAAACAAATACTACAAGGAATGAATCATAATTTAGATAATTATTCTTCATCTTGAGAAAAGTAATTTGAAATGTGGAGTCTAAGGTGTGTCATATGACACACTAATGTGAACCCAGTGTTAAGTAGTACTAGAAATAAATTTTTGAATAATAGAAATAATTTGTCAGTAATGTCTAAAGTGAATTTACATCTCATCACATAAATTTAGAATAGAGTCAAGATCTGAGGTGTGTCTATGACACACTAATGTGAATCCAGAGTTAAACAGTATTGAAATAAATTTTTGAATAATAGAAATAATTTTTTAGTAATGTCTAAAGTGAATTTACATCTGATCACATAAATCTGGAGTAGAGCTAAGATTATAGTGCAAGGAATTCACAGTTTAAGAAGTCCAAAAATGTTGTATCAATATGTGGCTATCTCCTAGCTTATTATATGTTTAATTACATGGTTCAGCATAATTATTTTAGCTACTTTTTGATTTTTAGAAAGCGTTTAAGGCTCTTGGACAGAGTACCCACTTGTACGGTCGACGTCTGGTGTTAGAATGGGCACAGACAGAGGAAGGAATAGAAGATATCAGAAAAAGAACTGCAAAACACTTCCATCAAGGTACGCGCACTTCAAAGTATTTTTGTCTCCCATCTCACAGTCTTTTGAATTTTTTGCAGAGGATTACTCTAAGAAGAGTAAGAAGGCTACCTTGAATCCTGAAGAAGTCGGTTTAGAAGCGGAATAAGCTCATCAAATTTTGTACATATGCGAAGAATAAAGTGCGTATTTGCATCGAATGGCTGGCACCGAGTCAATGAAAGTTAAAAAGTACTTTCCGATATCGAGCTTCCCGTCACGTTCCAACTTTTTCCCCGTCTTACTTTTCACGAAACTTCGGATTTCTAACAGCGTGTCACGAACATGTATTCGAGTTTTGATACGGGTTTCACGAATCGGTATCGCCTAGTTAGCATTAATCTTCTACCCACGTTCGACTTAATTGCAGCCTCGAGAGCGATCGTTGCACCTGGTTTCGATGCAAGAATGCGTCTTGACCACGTTCGAAATATTAACGTTGCTTTCTTCACGGACGAGCCGGTTTTTTCACTGAACAAACATCTATTTAAAGTTGTTTTATTGAATCAACACTATTTTTAGTAAATGGCAAGGCTAGATGGTTTTTTCCTTTCTTATTTAATGTATTATATATGCATGTAACTTGATATGAAAATAAGGTAGACGTAAGGTAGATGACAATCAGTTAAGTGAAGTTAAATATCAAAGCATAATTAAGTACATACATTAACTTTCTCTATGATAATCAATTCAGTGAAGTCAAATATGAAGACATAATTAAATACATACATTAACTATCTCTATGATAATCAATTCAGTGAAGTCAAACATGAATACATAATTAAATACATATATTAACTATCCCTACGATAATCAGTATAGTGAAGTCAAACATGAAGACATAATTAAATACATATATTAACTATCTCAATGGCAATCAATTCAGTGAAGTCAAACATGAATACATAATTAAATACATACGTTAACTATCTCTACGACAATCAGTTCAGTGAAGTCAAACATCAAGACAATAATTAAGTACATACATTAACTATCTCTACGATAATCAGTATAGTGAAGTCAAACATGAAGACATAATTAAATACATATATTAACTATCTCAATGGCAATCAGTTCAGTGAAGTCAAACGTCAAGACATAATTAAGTACATACGTTAACTATCTCTATGACAATCAGTTCAGTGAAGTCAAACATTAAAACATAATTAAATACCTACATTAAGTACCTCTATGATAATCAGTTTAGTGAAGTCAAACATTAAAACATAATTAAATACCTACATTAAGTACCTCTATGATAATCAGTTAAGTGAAGTTAAACATCAAAACATAATTAAATACGTACCTTAACTATCTCTATGACAATCAGATAAGTGAAGTCAAACATCTCAACATCAAATAAAAATTAAATTTGTGAACTCTGTGTTAAATTTGTTAGCTGACCAGTTTATAAATGTCAGTGTTAAGGATGTACTTTATCTTCCATACAAAACTTGCTTCTCATTTTCACAAAATTACCAAAAAACAGTAATAAACAATAGCACATTAGATATTAATAAAAACACCCTGCACCCAAAAATGAAGGAACCTCTCCACAAAAATAGTAAAAAACAGTAACAAACAAAATTACATTAGATACTAGTAAATGTGCCCAAAAATGAAGGGACCCTTTCCACAAGAATACTAAAGAACACTAACAAACAGTAGTACGTTAGATACTAGTAAAAATACTGCCCAAAAATGGAGGAACCCTTTCCCCAAAAATACTAAAGAACACTAACAAACAGTAGTACATTAGATACTAGTAAAAACACTCTGCCCAAAAATGAAAGAACCCTCTCCCCAAAAACACCAAAAACCAGAAGTACCAAAAAACACTAACAAACAAAACCACATCAGATACTAATAAAAACACCCATCCCAAAACTGCCCAAATAAAAATTTCCCAAATAAAGGTTCAACCAAGTTAAGAATAATTGTACCCCTTTCCCACAATACAAAAATAGTCCCTAACATTCCAAGACAAACGGCCCATAAAATATGTGGGTCCCATTTAAAACCAAGTCAGTATTCGATATATCAATATTAAAAGAAGCGATCCAAGGAGGGGTAGAAGGAAAGAAATGTTTTCCTTTCACCTGGAAGGAGGAGTGGCAGAAATCGTTCGAGAGGTTCGGATGGAGGTGGAGACGACCCATGAAAGTAACAGTGCCTTCTCCACCTCCTGATCGACGCTCAGTCTCACTCTCCTTGCTCTGGAGAACGGTGCTAGTGATTTCTGCGGTGTCCTTCGGTGTCGACGTCCACATACAAGGTCGCGAGTGCCACCGGAAACGTGGCCGGTGAATCGAGAACTCGTGTCTATGCAAGCATAGTGCGCGATGTGCTGACGAGGTTATTAAGGGAACAATCTTGGATCGTGGAAGCATCATGGACTGGGTAAGATTCTTGTAAATAGGGGAGAGACATGTCGGTTAGGTTTCTTGCGATTTTTGTTAATTTTTAAATTAGTTTACTGGGAGTCTGTAGTACTGGTATGTAGTACTAGTATATATATACTACTATACTAGTGTATATTATATACTACTGTATATAGTAGTGCAGACTATACTCCTAGTAGTTAGTACTACTACTGACATTACTAGTATTACTAACACTACTAACACTACTACTAATTTACATCTATTCCATCAATACTAAAATCCTATCACAATAAAATCACTTCTGACACCAAAATAACTACACAAAGTGTAACTTAAGTCGGTAACACAATCAAATCTACATCACAGATCGAATCTAACCGAGATCGAATCAAACTAGAATTCAACTGGAGATCTCACGCAGCGAATAAAAAAATAAAAACGCAAAATGCAGGGTCGTTGCTCGGATACTTTCTCCAGGTATTAAAGTTCGAAATATTATTAGAGAGTCGGAAAAACGCGGATTCCAGAAAGGTTTATACGAAATGGCGGTGTCGGTGACCGGTCGTCGATCGATTTCGAGATCTACGCATATCGAATACCCGAGAACGATCTTTGGCTTCCTGTCGACGAGGGAGGCCGAGGGAGAGGAAATCTACCGGTTATTCGAGCCACGCTAGCTCGGACAGCATACTCGGCTTGGAGCCGACGCGACAAGCAAAGAAGGAGCGAACGTTGCGGGATTGCAAAACTGTCGAGGTCGGAACGGTTCTCGTCGAACGTATCTGGTGTTTTGCTAAAAAGAAGAAGAGATTTTTCAAAATTGGGGAGATCGGGTAGATTGGATGAAAGAGGTGTTCGAATCTTCAACATCGATACGTTCTTACTGCGAAAAGTTTGAAGATCGGACAAAATTCTGTAAACGATTAACTTCGGAGGGTAAACGGAGGGTAGATAATAAATTTATGTAATAAATATGGTAGAAAATAAATGTGATTTCGCACTAGTTGATTTTTAGGGATTTTTTGAAATTTGACAAAGAGGGGATGAATTAGGAATATAGTTAGGTACAGTATATTGATAGATTAGAAATTGGAGAACTATGGATGTGAGGATTTGGGGATTTGGGGATTTAGGAATTTGAAGATCTAGGGATTTGAATGCAGAGTTCAAAGATCTAGGAATTTTAGATCTACGGATGTGGGAACCTAGATATTAGAGATCTAAGGATTTTAAATCTAGGGAATTAACAATCTAGGGATTTCGGTATCTAAAAATAGGAGATCTAGGGAATTCGAGATCTAGGGATTTTTGGCATATTTATTGGAAATCTAAGGGTTCTAGATTTTTAGGATTCGAGGATCTAGGGAATTCGAAATCTAGGGATTTCGGTGTCTAGAAATAGGAGATCTAGGGAATTCGAGATCTAGGGATTTTTTGCATACTTATTGGAAATCTACGGATTCTAGATTTTTAGGATTCGAGGATCTAAGGAATTCGAAATCTAGGGATTTCGGTGTCTAGAAATAGAAGATCTAGGGAATTCGAGATTTAGGGATTTTTGGCATATCTATTAGATATCTAGGAACTCTAGATATTTAGAATTCTGAAATCTAGGAAATTTGAAATCTAGGGATTTCGATACCTAGAAACGAGATCTAGGGAATTCGGGATCTAGGGATTTTTTGCATTCCTATCGGAGATCTAGGGACTCCAGATCTTTAGAATTCGGGGATCTAGGGAATTCGGTATCTAGAAATGGAAAATCTAGGGAATTCTGGATCTAGTGATTTTTCTTACACCCGTCGAAAATCTAAGAATCCTAGATATTTAGAATTCGGGGATCTACTGATTTTGAAATCTAGGGATTTCGGTACCTAAAAACGAGGTCTAGGGAATTCGAGATCTAGTTATTTAGGAACCTTGGTATTGTATATCCAAAGTTGTTAAATCTAAGGAATTCGAAACCTAGGGAATCCAATATCTAGAAAATTAAAAAATCTAGGGAATTCCAGTTCCATGAATCCAGAGTCATATTTGAAGGCCCACAGTGAAGAATAAGGAAAGGTTAAATACGTAAAAAGATCATTCTTGAATACTTTTAATTCAACGAATTTGACATCGCATTTAGAGGACTTAAAAATGCAAGTAGTGTATTTAGAAATTTGTTGAAAAAAAGGAAATCGAGATTCCTCGACTACAGGTATTTGTCGTCGAAAGAAAAGTTGCGTTTTACCAAAGTGTACGTCGAATAATTACATAACGGTGACGCAAGTAGCGGGACGAAATTCGTAGTCCTTATTCCATCTAGCCCCCGGCTACTTTCACAAAGAATAACGCCGCGTATTTTTGGGGAAAAACGACCGAGTTATCGATGATAAATCGACGAAGATGTCGACCTTCGTCGGCCGAGTCGAAAATGAAAGGAAAGGAAAGGCGTCGATTGAAAAACGAGAAAGAGGAACGGCGAAAAAGGATGATTGGTCAGAGCAAGGAAGGTCACCGACTGACCTTTCCACCGATTGTCCTTTCTTCTCCTTTTGATCACACATATTTTAATCGATAAGGACATTTCTTCTTAGTGTCAGCTCTTGAGAGGTGGCGAAAGGTCACAGAAAGCGAGGAATATGGTTTGTTAATTCGCGTATGCACGCATAATTAAAACGAGAGAAAGTCGTAAATATTATGCAAACGAGAATATTGACAAGGTAAATGTTAATGAAGAGTAGTTAATAAAGAGGCGACAGTAAATAAGGAAACGTTCTGGAGAGACATAAAGAATTAATTTAAATATGTAGGGGGTGGAGGTTCGATTTCGGCGCGTATTTCGAAATGCGCATGCGCAGAGGGTACAAACATGGCGGTCGAATACGAATAGTTCAAGGGGTGCAATTTAGCAAGACACAAACTTGTGGATCTGAAGAAATAAACGTTTAGCATCATCCAGAAATTTGAGGATCTGCAGAATGAAACGTTCAGTGATCCACAAATGTGGGATCTGAAGAGTGAAACGTTTAGTATCATCCAGAAATTGGAGGATCTGAAGAATGAACTGCTGAGTGATTCACAAATTTAGTTTTTGAAGAGTCCGAGTTAAACGCATCGCCTCGAAAAATCCTCAAACCAAGAAGACCAAGAAAGAACAAATTTTACATCGTGTTCGAAGGCAACGTTGCATCCGAGTGTACAAGCAGGAATTTGAGCGGGTCGAGACAGGATCCGCCTACCGTCTCCTACGCTCTCCATCTTCCTTTTGCTCCTCGTCCCTTTCGATCAGCAGAGATTCGGTGTCTCGCAATTTGTTTCTCGAAACTGGAGCACCGATATCCAGTACTCGATACCGAAAGTTAAAAGAAGAATCCGTTGGAACCGGCATGCAATTACGCGTTCCGAGTCAAAATTCCGGCGTCCAATTATTTCTAACCGTGGTTCGAGCTCGTAAATTTCTGCGGATTTCGAGCCCTGACCCGGGACTTTTTCAGGTAGCGGCTCCGTTTCGACGGATTCCATAGATTTGTAGGGACCGGAGAAAGAGAAAAAGGGATCCGCCTTTCTTTTTTTCGACCGCTGTTACCTGCTTTCGCGGAACGTTACAAGTTGTTTCGGTGTCCGATGAAGTCGTCCAGACGCGCTCCTTTTATTTCTCCGTCGCTAATTTCCTTGCTCTACGAGACTACAGTGCCTCGATAATATCGACCTTTCTGATTCCCTGTGGTCACATTACACATCCCAAAATACTACTTGGTAAATTATTCTCTTTTTAATGAATTTTAAACTCGACTTCAGAGGAAGAATTAATATCAAATGCAAACATACAACTCGTTAGTTTAAGCAATACCTTCAGAATCTTAAAAAATTACAAAATTTTTGTTTCTATAAAATGTTAGTGTATCTTAAAAATATTGTCTGAAAATTTTCAAGCGAAATACGAAGCCCTTTTGAAGTTATGGCCGATTAGCGCCGCGGGTATACACGCGTTCAGTGCGGAGGACTGAAACTTTAAACGCGTTTTTCTCAAAACTACGTTCTTAAAATTGCCGTGGCTGATAACTCAAAAACTAGTTTATCGATCGCGCTCAAATTTTCTCCACATATCCATGACAATACTATCTAACATATGAACCTAAATGTATGAAATAAATTGAACATTAAAGTCCTTTTTATTGCGAACATTGCAAAAATTTTCAATAAAATTCAAAGTTTTTCTTTAAACGCCATTTCTTCCATTTTACATATTTTGCACGTTTCTGAGGTTCATCTACTAACTGTGAATGTTAGTTTTCGAAACGTTGTCCGCAAACTTGCTGAAACCAGTATATCTTCCGCTGGAACCCACGGCGATTCGCGAGACGCGCCAAAACACTTCCAGAAAGGATTGTCATAATTCCGGCATTTTGAAATATTTTGCAGAACAGAAAATATTCTGTAATAGGCAATAGTTATAATAAATTATAGGTGAAATTTCGAAAATGCAAAACAAAGGTGTCCTCTAAAAAAAAATTCACAAATATCAGCTTATTTTCATCTGTCTGAAGGTATTACCCCCCTTAAACCTGCACCAGTATTTCTAATTAATATTTTATTTTTCTGCAATATTCATCTGTTTTCTTATAAAAGAAAGGTCTTGTCTCTTTATTCTTCGATAACTTCAACTATAATCGTAATTAGAAGCACTTTTATGTTTTGTCCACAAATTACATAACAGCAATTAGGAAAGATTTGCGATCGCAATTAGGAAGTAAAAATCAGACTCTTCTGTTAGAAATTGAATTTTCCTTTCACCAATAACTCTCTTTTCGATTATAAAGTGGCAAAAAGTAATTTATAATGATTGGATGTATTAATATCTTTGAAAATGCGTAATTTCAGCGGAATTAAATGACCAGGCAGATATTGACCACTTAATACCGTTGAAATTACCTATGAATTCGGTACGAAATTGCAATTATGAACGCAACAAATATTTCGTTTATAATTCGGTATTAAGAGCCGATATTGGCCAATTAATTCCTTTGATATTATGCAGCAAATAATGAGGCGAACGCAAAAATATTTTAATACATTCGACGAACATTTCGAGAAAAGCATTCGGTATAGAGATCTCAAATGACTGTGATTATTTCTTTAATTATGAGACCGCAGAATATTATTTATGCATATGTTGTTTCAATGACATGTCAATGAGGACATATAAGACATATAATACATATAGGACATATAGGGTAATTGTATAACACATATGAAACATGTAGAACATATAGGACACATGAAACATATAGAACATATAGGACATGTAGGACATGTAGGACATGTAGGACATATGGGACAAATGTATAGAACACATGTAACATACATAGCACATAGGATATATGTAACATATAGAACATATAAGACATACATATAGGACAAATGTACAGATTACATATAACATACATAACATATAACACACATGAAACGTACAGAGCATATAAAACATGTACATATATGTAATTCCACGTAAGTAGAAGTTCAGATCACCTCTCCAAGTAGATTCCTATCCTTCATCCTATAAAGTTTATAGTATAAACCATCACTCTCCTATTCACCCATAAGCTACTTCCTCAAAACCTCAAAAAAAGAGCCCAACCCAACAAAAAAGCTATAAAACATCGAAGCGAAAGGAACCTCAGAAAAATGCAGTCTTAAAGAAATATGAAGAAGGAGGTTATCCCGGAGAACATCAAGATTCCCTCGAGTAATTACAGACAATAAAGAAGATTTAATTAAGAATCGCGCCATTAGTTTCCTAGTAAACAGAGCGAGAGTCCGGTGCCTCGAAGCAAATTCCATGGAAAGTAAAAGTGACCGAGCCACGCTAGATTTATCCGCCATCGACCGGCTTTGCTTTCGATTTCGCGAAATTCTCGTGTTGCCAGAAGGACTCGAAAAAACAGTAGCCACTTAACCATCGACGTTTATAGCTCTCGTTAAGATCATCCCGTTCACCTTTATGGCTGACCGGGGACCAAGGTCGCTCCGCGAATTATCCGTTCGTTTATTTTCGTCGTTCCCGTGCGAGGAATAACGAAATACCTCTCGGTCTTTGTTTCCTTCGAGATCGTCTCTGATACCGGTTCTTTTCCCGCATTTATCCGATTCTAAACTTGGATCGTGGAGTTTCTCAACCGATCTCTCTTTGCGTTTCTTTATTCTTGAGAAGAGGAGTCGCTGGAGAATATGATGGGTAAACTTTCGGAGAAGTCAAAGGTGAACGGCGTATAGTCGGCTGCAAAATTACTTAGGCGACTTTTGGGGAAACTTTCAAGCATTTGGGAATTTAAGGAAAGGAGATTTGAGAATTTAAGGAAAGGAGATTCGAGAATTTAAGGAAATTTGGAGATTCGGGAATTTAAGGAAATTCAGAGATTTGAGAATTTAAGGAAATTCGGGGATTCGAGAATTTAAGGAAACTCGGAGATTCGGGAATTTCAAATTCCTACAATATTCCTCTAAATATTCCGAAACAGTTCCCTACATTCTTACTACTTAAATCCTATTTTTCAGTATTTTTCACGTTTCTAAAATTTCTTTTACCAACTGATTAATTTACGAAACAGAAGATCAATAAAACGTATTGCAACAGTGGAGTAACAAATATACAGGCTGTCTCACAACTAGTGTCCCAGAAATGAGGAGCAGCTGATTCCGAATAAGATTTCCCTTTGCAAAAATAGAATTTGAAGCTTCGTTTTTGAATTATTAAGGAAAAACGCGGACCAGAGCGCAAGGATGCGCGCGCAGCCGCCAGGCTCGAAGCTATCGCTCCCGCGTCTGCGCGCGTAATCCTCGCGCTCTGATTGCTCCGTGTTTTCCTTAATAATTCAAAAACGAAGCTTCGAACCCCATTTTTGCAAAGGGAAATCTTATTCGGAATCAGCTCCCCTCATTTCAGGGACACTAGTTGTGAGGCACCCTGTATACGTTTTACTGTAACATATACAACGTTCGTCGAACCGTATCTGATGTTCCACCCCTGTGCGCCACAATTACGTCAGCTACCCCCATTTCAGGGACCTACGCTAGTTGTGAGACATCCTGTATAAAGATGATGTAGTTTGACTTCGAGTCGCTGGCCATTGTCAATTGCCTTTTTACGACCGTACCTCCCTATCATAAATTGTCAAACCACAGAAGTAGTCTGCACTATTTTTGTATATTTCTGTGCTGTATTGAGGTGTGACACGTGACTTCAACTACGAATTTTCCTCGAATTTTAAATACTCTTCAATTTGGACTTCAGTTTGCAAGGCCCAAGTGATTTTCAAGTACATCGACACAGAATTTATAGTATACCGGGGGTCCTACACTATGAGTCACCTTTCGGAGGGTTAACTGAAAGGAATCTCGGGTTACGGAGTAAAGGTCTGTAGAAGCATGGAACGAATTGCGATCATTCGTCGTTGAAATGTCACCGGAACTCGAAGAAGCGTGTCCACATTGACGGCGGTACGAATGTAAATAAGTCGGTGCGACGGTTCACCGAATCGGCGTCATTACGTAAAGATCGATTTCAAGCACGTAGAAGTTAAACCAAGCGTTTCTATTCAAATGACCGCTATCGAATAGATGCTCGAATGCGTTACTTCTATAAACGCTCGTTACCAACCGTTTCGTTATTCAGACTGCAATTACTTAACGCGTTCGATCGCGTATCGAAAGAAACGTATTTCCAAAAAAGACCCACGATAAGAACGAAAGCAAAACGTCGTTGGTATTCGTCCACGATCGCTTTCTCTCGTAAATATCGAGTTGAAATATCATCTCCGTTGTCGAAGAGCTTTCTATGGATTTTGACGAAAAGCCCTTCAATAAAGTACCTCTTAACCGGATTCTAAGGACCCGCGTGCCGAACGATAGGTCGTTCGATTACTCGATTCACGATTTCCCGCACGTGAAGCGAGCCTGTGCCTCGTAGAAAGTTATTTGACATTTAGAAGCGTTCGCGAGGAATTTTTCGAGCCTCCCGCGTGTACGCGATCTACATAGTTGCACGAGAACGCTTTCGCGTCTCGATATTCCAGATTTTCCAGCTTCTAGAATGTGGAACGACGCGTGAAAAAACTGATTAAATTCCTATGGGCCGGTGCACACTGCCGATGGTTTGTTACGCTTCTGTGACGGATTAAATACTTTGGGAACTAAATGCCTTTCGAATATTACGTCTGGTGACGTCTATTAAATCTAGGGATTTGGAGATCTAGGGATTTTTGACTTTAGACAAGTGATGATTTAGGGATTTTGGGGAATCTAGGGATTCTTGGAAATCTAGGAATTTCTTGAGATCTAGGAATTTTTTAGGATTTGGGGATTTTTAGGAATCTAGGGATTTGTGGGGGATCTAAGGATTTCTGGAGATCTAGGGATTTTTTGAATCCAGAGATTTTGGGGAATCTAGGGATTTTTCGGATCTAGGAATTTTTGCATCTAGGGATTTTGGAATCTAGGGAATTTTGACTCTAGGGAGTTTTTGGGTCTAGGGATTTTTTGACACTAGGAATTTTTGTATTTGGAGAGTTTTTGGGTCTAGGGATTTTTTGACTCTAGGAATTTTTGGATCTAAGGCTTTTCTACTATAAGGATTTTGGGATCTAGGGATTTTCTACTATAAGGATTTTGGGATCTAGGGATTTTCTACTATAAGAATTTTGGGATCTAGAGAATTCGACTCTAAGAACTTTGTAGTCTAGGGATTTTCTACTATAGGGATTTTCGACTCTTGGTAGTTTGTAGTCTAGAGTTTTTGGTCCTAGAAATTTGTTGATACAGGAATTTTTGGTTCTAGTAATTTGTGGTCTTGTGATTTTCTACTGTACGAATTTTTGAATCTAGGAGTTTAGGGATTTACACAGCTTAAAATTTCAAGATCTAGGAAATTCTAAACTAAAGAATTTACTTTTACCTACTATTTATTTTATCTTTACCCAGCGATTCGCAAATACAGGAGTTCGTAAATCTAAAGAAAATTTGCATATTAGAAAGATTCGAAAGGTTAGAATTCGCCATGAAGAAGTGTCAATAGCGCGTCTCCCCGAATCCCGGTTAATCGTTTTATCGCGAAGACGTAACGCAGCGTTAACGTAACGCGCTCGTCGGCCGAAACGTACGAGAAAGTGGTCGCGGAACGTTGTTCTTTCTTTTTGCTTTCTCTTTACGCGCGTTACGTAACGAGGAGTGGCTCCCTGGGTGTCACGGCCCCGATCTATTTGTTCGATCTTGTCTCACCCTCGAGCACTCCGATAAAATCGAAATCGCTCTCGACAGGTGTGTCGGCAACTCGCTCCGGAGCACGGTGAATGTACCGGACAGCGTGGGACCACGCGAAAAGCCTCGAACGTTCGATAAAACGCGGGAAATGTTCGGAAAATTTTGAAGACGCAACGCGCTTTTACCAGGAAGTGCGAAACGAAAAATACGTCGGTTTCCGCGTACGTTGACGTTTAAGGAAGACAATTTCGCGTGTCCCGCACAAAAATGCCAGTTTCACCGTTAGTTGCGTAAGCGCCGTTCGATTTACCGGTCATTCATACGCGGCTAGAGTTAATTAGTCGTGGCTCGCGGAGCCCAACGGTAAATTATTAATGCGTCACCTCTTCCGTTACAGGCGACTCGAACGGCCTCGCTCATCCTCTGCCTGACAATTCTGCTCGCGACCATCCATCACGGTAAGTGTCTTTCGCAACGGGACTAGAAATTTTACCGACGTGTCAAGGCGCTTACATTGTTACCTTGCGACACCACGTAATTATAATTAGAAAATATGGATGCAAAAACCGTTTGACGATTATGAAAGAGGGTATGCTTTTTTTATGGGAAGAATTATTTACGGGGAACGCTTGATCGGGTTTACAAGCGAAAAGAAATGGGATGCAAGGTTAAAGTTGCCATCGGCCCATTTACTCCGTGACCGAGTCTCTTCGGTAATTTCCCTAGCGGTGCACGCGAGGCTGCGCTACAGCGAAACGGTTTCCGATAAATGCATGCAAATTTCTGGGATTCAAGTTTTCGAACTTTCGAATTCTCAAATTCCTACGATATTCCTCTAAATATTCGGAACGGATAGAATTAAATCGATAGAATTGAACTCTTTCGGTACAGTTTGATATAAACAAGTCAATACCTAATGATTCTCTTTCTGTCGATTTAAATAATTCTACTTTTGTAGCGTCATATTAAGGTACAAACTTATAAATATGTACAAGTGCATCTGGACCACTATTTTTCAGTATTTTTCACGTTTCTAAAATTTCTTTTACCAACTGATTAATTTACGAAACAGAAGATCAATAAAACGTATTGCAACAGTGGAGTAACAAATATACAGGCTGTCTCACAACCAATATCCCAGAAATGAAGGGTAGCTGATTCCGAATAAGATTTCCCTTTGCAAAAATGGGATTTGAAGCTTCGTTTTTGAATTATTAAGGAAAACCGCGGACCAGAGCGCGAGATGCGCGCGCAGCCGCTAGGCTCGAAGCTGTCGCTCCCGCGTCTGCGCGCGTAATCCTCGCGCTCTGATTGCTCCGTGTTTTCCTTAATAATTCAAAAACGAAGCTTCAAATCCCATTTTTGCAAAGGGAAATCTTATTCGGAATCAGCTACCCTTCATTTCTGGGATATTGGTTGTGAGACAGCCTGTATATTTGTTACTCCACTGTTGCAATACGTTTTATTGATCTTCTGTTTCGTAAATTAATCAGTTGGTAAAAGAAATTTTAGAAACGTGAAAAATACTGAAAAATAGTGGTCCAGATGCACTTGTACATATTTATAAGTTTGTACCTTAATATGACGCTACAAAAGTAGAATTATTTAAATCGACAGAAAGAGAATCATTAGGTATTGACTTGTTTATATCAAACTGTACCGAAAGAGTTCAATTCTATCGATTTAATTCTATCCGTTCCGAATATTTAGAGGAATATCGTAGGAATTTGAGAATTCGAAAGTTCGAAAACTTGAATCCCAGAAATTTGCATGCATTTATCGGAAACCGTTTCGCTGTAGCGCAGCCTCGCGTGCACCGCTAGGGAAATTACCGAAGAGACTCGGTCACGGAGTAAATGGGCCGATGGCAACTTTAACCTTGCATCCCATTTCTTTTCGCTTGTAAACCCGATCAAGCGTTCCCCGTAAATAATTCTTCCCATAAAAAAAGCATACCCTCTTTCATAATCGTCAAACGGTTTTTGCATCCATATTTTCTAATTATAATTACGTGGTGTCGCAAGGTAACAATGTAAGCGCCTTGACACGTCGGTAAAATTTCTAGTCCCGTTGCGAAAGACACTTACCGTGATGGATGGTCGCGAGCAGAATTGTCAGGCAGAGGATGAGCGAGGCCGTTCGAGTCGCCTGTAACGGAAGAGGTGACGCATTAATAATTTACCGTTGGGCTCCGCGAGCCACGACTAATTAACTCTAGCCGCGTATGAATTTTTGCAAAGGGAAATCTTATTCGGAATCAGCTCCCCTCATTTCAGGGACACTAGTTGTGAGGCACCCTGTATACGTTTTACTGTAACATATACAACGTTCGTCGAACCGTATCTGATGTTCCACCCCTGTGCGCCACAATTACGTCAGCTACCCCCATTTCAGGGACCTACGCTAGTTGTGAGACACCCTGTATAAAGATGATGTTTGACTTCGAGTCACTGGCCATTGTCGATTGCCTTTTTACGACCGTACCTTCCTATCATAAATTGTCGAACCACAGAAGTAGTCTGCACTATTTTTGTATATTTCTGCACTATATTGACACGTGACTTCAACTACGAATTTTCCTTGAATTTTCAGTAGGCTTCAATTCGGACTTCAATTTGTAAAGTCAAAGAAAACAACACTAAATTACATCTCAGCTTTCTTCGTTTCAATATTGTTAACGTTAAACTATGATTAGTTCTAACGCCACTTAACCGTGATGCGACTTTCCCAAGGGATGTTGCACTTGACTGTACTCACCGTTTACGGACCGCGTGGATTTCCACGCTTTTATTTACCTCAATTAAGGAGATTCGCTTGTCGCTTTATCGCCTTTCTTAACGAGGAGAAAACGAACGTCGGATTTCGACACGAGAGTACAGCGATACTTGGTCGCGTGCTCGATGAGCAACTTCGAATCTGTCGAAGTGCGAGGATCGACGCCCGAGCAGGACCCTTTCTTGCCCGGAGGCACGCGATCTCTCGTTACGCGAATCGACGGTTATGGAGCTAAACGCGGTACATAATACCCGGAGATAAGATCGGTAAGAGGCACGGCGTTAACCGGCCAATTCATGTCACGTTTGCGGCAAATGCGAATCGCCGGCAAACAGCACGGTTCATTCTTCCACCCGTGCCTCGGTCGACAGAATATTTTTACATTCTTCGAGAAAGAGAGAAGAAGAGATATTCCTTCCACGTAAAGGGGTGCCTAATTTATGTATAAATTCGCAGAATCGCAGATCTCGGGTTGAAAGGATGTCGCGTAGTCGCCATACGAATTCGAAGACAATTGAATAAGAATTCACATCCGTTTACACTATACTCTGATACTTTTCTTTTCGACTCCCGGAAACGATTACCGTATCGATTACGCACAGATAGAAACTTGACGTGAACGATCTCCTTAAAGATCTCGAGTGCCAGTTTTACGCTTACAATGTACTTTCGATGGCCTTTTTTTTTCGTTCCCCCTCTGACCCACCCATTCCCCTTTATCGAACAGCGCTGGTCGTTTTTGCCGCGGCCGTTTTCTCCGAGAAGGTGCATACGTTTCACTGGCTCGGCAGATACGACGAACGCAGTGAAACTGCGACCGTACAGTCAATTGCAAATCTCCAATCCCTAGGGAAATTATCGCAATCGATGCAGAGATCTCAAACTCGTCAAAATTTTTCGAAACCTGACAATTTTTAATGAGACAAGAATTTAGAGCGTGGGAATGAAAATTCTAGGGACTTTTATATTTAGTCATTTTGTTGATCTAGGGATATGGGAATGTAGAAATTTAAGATTTTGAAATGTAAAAATTTAGATATGTAATTGGGAGATCTAGGGAGTTGATTCAAGGAAATTTGGGGGTCTAGGGATTTTTTGGAATCTATGGAATTTTGGAGGTTTAGAGAATTTTGGAATTTAGGGAATTTTGGGGATCAGTAGAATTTTTGGGGATCTAGGGAAATTTTAGTTTTGAGGAATTTAGGGAATTTTGGGGATCGGTAGAATTTTTGGGGGTCTAGGGAATTTTTAGATTTGGGGAACTTTAGGGTCTAAGGAATTTTGGGAGGACTAGGGAATTTTTGGAATCTATGGAATTTTGGGGATCTGTGGAATTTTCGGGGGTCTAGGGAATTTTTAGATTTGGGGAATTTTAGGGTCTAAGGAATTTTGGGAGGTCTAGGGAATTTTTGGGGTCTGTGGAATTTTTGAAATTTAGGGAATTTTGGGGGTCTAGGGAATTTTTAGATTTGGGGAATTTTAGGGTCTAAGGAATTTTGGGAGGTCTAGGGAATTTTTGGGGTCTATGGAATTTTTTAGATTTAGGGAATTTTAGGGGTCTAGAAAATTTTGGGATTTAGGGAATTTTGGGGATCTGTGGAATTTTGGAGGTTTAGGGAATTTTTATATCTGGGGAATTTTAGGGTCTAAGGAATTTTTGGGGTCTATGGAATTTTTGAGATTTAGGGAATTTTTGAGGTTTAGGGAATTTTCGTGGTTTTGGGAATTTTTGGATTTAGAGAATTGTGGGGATTTAAGGAATTTTTTGGGATCTAAAGAATTTTTGCGATTTTAGGTATTTTGGGAAGAATCATCTAGTGTCCTAATAATTTATAAACCAAGAATATAGAATCCCAAGAATTAGGATCTAGAACTTCAATAGCTCAGAGTCTTTATAATTAAAAAATCTGATGAAATATATAAATTTGCCCATACAGCAATATGAGAATTAAAAAATATCGAACCATATCACGCAATAAAATAAAGATACAAAAATTGGAAAACTTGAATTCATCAGAAATATAAAAAGGAAAAATTGCGAATATCTTTCTCATGCAAAACGCGTTGCCTCCGAGTGTACACACGTGTTTCCCATCGACCGAACGAAAGTTCAATGGCGTTCGAATTTCTCCGCGACACGGTTTCCTCGGTCGCGCGCAAATTACCCAGCTCTCGCGATCCTTTTGTTCGTCGAATCAAGATCAGTGGAGCAGGCACTAAAACGCGTGTCCGCAGGTTGCGCGGAGCGAAAGATCGTGTGTTACTACACGAACTGGTCGATCTACCGACCGGGGACCGCCAAGTTCTCCCCGCAGAATATCAACCCGTACCTCTGCACCCACCTGATCTACGCGTTCGGTGGTTTCACCAAGGACAACGCTCTGAAGCCTTTCGACAAGTACCAGGACATCGAGAAAGGTAAACGAGATTCGCTTTGCAGGGCGATCGATAATTAACCGAAACGATTCTTCAAGGTGGCTACGCCAAGTTCACCGGGTTGAAAACGTATAACAAAAACTTGAAGACCCTGCTGGCGATCGGAGGATGGAACGAGGGGTCCAGCAGGTTCTCCCCGATGGTCGCCGTCCCCGAGAGGAGACGCGAGCTCGTGAAAAACACTATCAAGTTCCTTCGGAAGAATCATTTCGACGGCCTCGACCTCGACTGGGAGTACCCGGCCTTCAGGGACGGTGGGAAGCCGAGGGACAAAGACAACTATGCCAACCTCGTCCAGGTAACGATCGAGGAGAAAATTTTGGAGATTTAGGACATTTTTAGGGTTTAGAGAATTTTTGTGGTTTTGGGAATTTGAGAAATTTAGGGAATTTTTGGGGTCTAGGAAATTTTGGATGTTTAGGGAATTCTTGAGGTCTGGAGAATTTTTGGGGTTTAGGAAATTTTGAGAGTTTAGGGAATTTGGCGGAGTTAGGGAATTTTTGGGATCTAGGACATTCTGGAGGTTTTGGGAATTTGGGGAATTTTTGGAATCTAAGAAATTTTGGGAATTTTGGGAATTTTTAGAGTTTAGGGAATTTTTGTGGTTTTGGGAATTTTGGGATATAGGGAATTTTTGGAATCTAGGAAATTTTGGAGGTTTTCGGAATTTTTAGAGTTTAGGGAATTGTTGTGGTTTTGGGAATTTGGGGGAATTAGGGAATTTTTGGAATTTAAGAAATTTTGGGAATTTTGGGAATTTTTAGAGTTTGGGGAATTGTTGTGGCTTTGGGAATTTCGGGATATAGGGAATTTTTGGAATCTAAGAAATTTTGGGAATTTTTAGAGTTTAGGGAATTGCGGTTTTGGGTATGTGGGGGATTTAGGGAATTTTTGGAATCTAAGACATTTTTGAACTTTGAGAATTTTGAGAGTTTAGGGAATTTTTGTGGTTTTGGGAATTTTGGGATATAGGGAATTTTTGGAATCTAAAAAATTTTGGAACTTTGGGAATTTTTAGAGTTTTGGGAATTGTTGTGGCTTTGGGAATTTGGGGGATTTAGGGAATTTTTGGAATCTAAGAAATTTTGGAACTTTGAGAATTTTGAGAGTTTAGGGAATTTTTGTGGTTTTGGGAATTTTGGGATATAGGGAATTTTTGGAATCTAAGAAATTTTTGAACTTTGGGAATTTTTAGAGTTTAGGGAATTGTTGTGGCTTTGGGAATTTTGGAATATAGGGAATTTTTGGGATCTAGAAAATTTTTAAAGTCTCGAGAATTTTGAGAGTTTAGAGAATTTTTGTGATCTAGGAAATTTTTTAAGTCTATTGAATTTGGGGGATCGAGGAAATTTTTTGCAACTAGGGAATTTTTGAAATCTAGGAAATTTTTAAGGTCAAAGGAATTTTTTGTGGTTTTGGGAATTTTTGGATTTAGTGGAATTTTTGAGATCTAAAAAATTTTTTAGATCTATGCAATTTGGGGGATTGAGGAAATTTTTTGGAACTAGGGAATTTTTGAAGTCTAGGAAATTTTTAAGGTCAAAGGAATTTTTTGTGTTTTTGGGAATTTTAGGTATCTAGGTAATTTTTTAGGTTCAGAGATTTCGGAGGATTTAGGGAATTTTTTGGATCTAGAGAATTTTGGCGGTTTTGGTAGTTTTTAAATTTTGGATAAACATTATCCAAATTATATCGTGTTTGGTCTCGTTTTAATATGAAAAACCTCACGAACATAACAAAACAAAAGTTTGCAATAAAAACAGAACAAAAGAGTAAAAATTAAAAAATGATACTGCTGTAGTATTTACGTCGCTTAACTCAAAAATGTTTCCTAAAGGAACTCAGAGAGGAGTTCGAGAGGGAGTCCTCAAAAACCGGGAGGCCCAGACTCCTGCTCTCCATGGCGATGCCAGCCGGCATCGAGTACATCGACAAAGGCTACGACGTTCCCAGACTGAACGAGTACCTGGACTTCATCAACCTGCTCTCCTACGATTATCACTCGTCCTACGAACCGGCGGTCAACCACCACTCCCCCCTCTACCCCCTCGAGGAGGACAACGAGTACAATTACGACACCGAGCTGACCATCGTAAGATGTCCAATTACGAGTGACCGAGATGTTTCCTAACGATCGATCTTGCAGGATTACACCGTTAACTATCTGATGAAGAAAGGCGCCTCCCCGGAGAAAATCATTCTTGGAATACCGACTTACGGGAGATCGTACACGCTGTTCAATCAGGACGCTACTGAGTTAGGGGCACCTGCGGACGGACCCGGAGTGGAGGGCGACGCCACTAGGGAGAAGGGGTATCTGGCTTACTACGAGGTTGGTTTGTTAAATGTTCTTGCTCAATAAGTTATTCTGGTCGGTGGAAAATTACTGACAATTGCTGGTTTAATGGACTGAGGAGGTTGTTATGATTTGCTGATTATTGGGAATTGATTGTTAGTCAATAATAAATAAGTTCAGGTAAATTAGTAACAGCATTTGGTATACTGTGATTAGAGTAACTGGTAATTATAGTAATTTGATCGTGAGCGATGACACACTTGGTCAGTTCTAACTTATAATAGAGTAATTGCTATGTTTGATTCTGTGGGTATAGCAATGTGAATATAGAATATTAATATTGTGTAAGGAGTGGTGGATGAAGAGTGTGGAACGAGAGATTGGAATAGTAAATTCTTCTCAAATTTGTACGTCCCCAAATTCGCATATCACCAAATCTCTACATTCCCAAATTTCCACGAGTCTTAATTCCTAATAATCTTAGAATCTCTACATCTCCGAATTCCCACATTCCCAAATTCTCACATCTTCAAATTTCCACATTCCCAAATTCCCACATCCCCAAATTCCCACATCCCCAAATTCCCACGTCCCCAAATCCCCACATCCCCAAATTCCTCCATCCCCAAATTTCCACTCACCCAAATTCCCACATCCTCAAATTTCCGCACCCCCAAATTCCCATATCCCCAAGTTTTCACACCCCCAAATTTCCACATCCCTAAATTCCTCCACCTCCAAATTTCCACTCCCCCAAATGTCCCCAAATTCCCACGTCCCCAAATTCCCACGTCCCCAAATCCCCAAGTCCCCAAATTTCCACATCCCCAAATTCCTACATCCCCAAATTCCCACACCCCCAAACTCCCACATCCCCAAACTCCTACACCCCCAAATTCCCACATTCCCAAATTCCTCCATGCCCAAATTCCTCCATGCCCAAATTCCTCCATCCCCAAATTCCCACATCCCTAAATTCCTCCATCCCTAAACCTTGATAACTAACTTCAGACCAGACCTCTTTCAGTACCAAACTTACATTTTACTTCCATCGAGTATTTCCTAACAGCAGCTTTGTTTGCCAGATCTGTGAGAACCTAGCAGAGTCAGAGGACTGGGAGGTGATTCAGCCTAACCCAAAAGCGATGGGTCCCTACGCGTTCAAGGGAGACCAGTGGGTGGGCTACGACGACGAGAATATAGTAAAACTAAAAGCCAAGTACGCGAACGAGAAGAATCTGGGTGGTATCATGTTCTGGACGATCGACAATGACGACTTCCGCGGGAAGTGTCATGGACGTCCATATCCTTTGATCGAGGCGGCCAAAGAGGCCCTCCTGACGGACAGCACGTAAGAATCTCATCAATCCTATGAGAGTTTCGGAATATCGAAGGTGCCATAGCAAAAGACCAAGGAACTTGTCCATTTTTCCCGGGCGGTTTGCGCATTGAGCCCGAGGTTGTAGCCATATTTTTTCGGTTCCACGTAGTTTGAAAAGTCGAGGCGATCTTGGGTTTATTACTGTGAGGGTAATTTGTAGGAGGTCGAGTGCCGGATGGGTGACCGTGCAACGGTTTGGGCCGGTGCACCACTGCCAGGGGAAACTGGGAACTCCCAATTTGGGGAAAGTCAGCCCTTTCCCACTCCTCGTTTTGCCCGCCCCAGTGTATCGGGAAGATGTATATATTTGTACGCGAGTCAACGCGCTTGGTCTTGCTATACTCGGAAGAAATAAAGTCACTCTAGTTATTTGTTAATTCGTTAAAATCGTTGTTCGGCCTTAATTTTGTCTCGCTCCGTTCCGATCCAAATTTAGTCTACGAAAGTGAAATTTTACGTAGTCGATGGCCTGCGGGCCTGCGGATACAGGAGTCCATCGAATACTTGATCGGTGGTTATACCATTTCGACGGAGTTAGATCCTTATGTACATTAATTATTTCAACATACACGTAGTAATATCTTAGCTCGGTACATAAATTTTACCCCAATATTTTCATTTAGTTTACACCTGTGAAAATGTCTTTTTCTAGGACGGTTCAGAAGACCCAGGTGGAGAGTAGGAAAAGAACGAGAACCGAAGGCTTCCAGAGTAATACTATACGAAAGGGTACAAGTTCAAGGAGGACCACGACAGCGGCCCCCGTGAAGAGGGTATCCTCCCCCAGACCGAAGTACCGGACGTTCTCGAGGAATAAGAGCCAGGAGGATGAAGAGGAGATCGACAGACGATCGTACGAACCTGATAGCGAGGAGGAGGAATCCGAAAGGGGCAATGCTGTGAGGAACGAGAGCAAGAACAGACCTAAGATTCGGAATCCTGGGAGGAATCGAAGGAAGCAGACGAGGCGCAAGGAGGGAAACAAGGAGGGAAGCAAGGAGTCGGAAGAGTCTTTGAGCAATAAGCTGACCACTCCGGAACCACCGACGACGCCTGATCCAGGAACAGGTGAAATTATAGCTATGAGTAGTGAAGAGTGAGACCAAGGACCGAGGTTCTCAAGGAGTAGGGAAACTTGTGGATACGGGGACTTGTGGATATGAGGACTTGGGGGATGTGGGACTTTGGGAATATGGGTACTTGGGGATATAAAAATCTGAGGACATAGGAAACTTGAGGATATGAGAACTTAGATATATAGAAATCTGGAGGTATAGGAAACTTGAAGATATGTAAATTTGGAGATATGAGAATTTGGGGACATGGAAACTTGGAGATATGAGAATTTGGGGACATGGAAACTTGAAGATATGAGAATTTGGGGATATAGAAACTTGAATATATATATTACTGATAGATTGAGCTCTGAAACCTGAATCTGGTCCCACTTGGTCACACTCTTCTAAACTAATAAATTCTTCACATCATTAATAAATATTCGTTAAACAGACTTCAAGTGCGAGGACGAAGGCTTCTTCCCACACCCTCGCGACTGCAAGAAGTACTTCTGGTGTCTGGAAAGTGGTCCTGGAGGTCTCGGCGTGGTCGCTCATCAGTTCACTTGTCCCTCAGGTAAGTCAAGTTTCTACCACTTATAATTAATGTCCTATTCAACGACTTATCAACCAAACTAATAATGACAAAAACTAAACTATACATTCTCTGACTTCACAACATGTACCATTCCACATCCTCAACACGAGTTTGTAAAAAGGCTACATTTCACACAGAACTAATTTTACAAATAATATTATCCACGTTGAGGAACTCCTTAATTTATGATGGCCCTAAACCAATTCCACTCATTATGCTCTTACAAGTTACTCTAAATATCTCTTTGTAGGTCTGGTGTTCAACAAAGCAGCCGATTCATGCGACTACCCTCGAAACGTAGTGTGTCCAAAATCAAAAACGTCTCAGAGTTCATCAACCACAAGGGCGCCCATCACTGCAGCCACCAGCCGCACCACGTATCTGTACAGCACGACCCGGAAACCAACCACAGAAAAACCGGAAGACGAGGAGTACGAGTACTACGACGACGAGGACGAAGAAGTCGAAGAAGAAAAGAAGGAACCCAAAACGACCACCACACCGAAACCCTTGCTGTATAAAACTATTAATAGAAGCAGACCGACTACGACGACTACTACTGAGGCTACCATTGTGAAACCTGAGAATGAGGACAAGTTGATCGATTTGGAGGACGAGGAGGATCCTAAAGTTATTAAGGAGCTGATCAAACTCATCAAGAAAGCTGGTAATTTATTTTGGGACTTGTGAAAGAGATTTTTAGTCTTTTTGTGAAAATTAAGATTAATGTTAAACAATGTGATATCAATAACTGAAAATGGAGGTTGATGTCAAGATATGTGAATTCAATGAATGAAAATGGAGTTTGATGTCAAGATATGTGACAACAATGACTGAAAATTGAGATTAATGTTAAGATATGTTTTTTAGGAGGCATAGAGCAACTGGAGAAGCAGCTGCTTATTCAGGATAAAGGCTCAGAAGCGAATTCGAATAATGAGAATGCGACTCCAGCTGCTATTAGTCGGACTTTGTATGAGCGAGTGCTGAGTCGACAGGCTGGGAAGATCGCTGGGAGGCGGGAGTCGGCGAATGGACCGGGGGGAGCACAGTTTGAGGGACTGGAAGAGGTGCCTGAAGTTAAGAACCTTAGGAGGTCGCATAAACATCAATATGTGACTATTGAGAGGACTAAGTATGAATGAGTGTTTTTTGGGAATTTAATTCCTACATCATCAAATCCTTATATCATTTTATACCTACATCATCAAGTCCTTCTATTACCTTATCTCTACATCACTAAATTCCTACATCATTAAATTTCCACATCCTCAAATTCCCAATAATCCCTAAGTCCCTAACAATAAGTCCTCAAATTCCCAATTTCTTAAATGTCCTGAGATCTTCCAAAAATCATAAAACCTTGATAAACCATTTCAGACCAGCGACACCAACACCAGTGGACGAAGAGGAGGCCGAGGAGAAAGATTCAGAGGAAACCGCAGACGTAGCCTCTTCCGAGGAACGAACAGTCAGTAATCCATTCCTGGCAGACTCGACGCAAAGAGCTACTCCCAATTATGTTAACATCAGACGAAATCGACTCTCAACCACAACCTCGAGGTAAGCTAGGAATTTAGACTAGAAATTTGGACTAGAAACTTGTATTAGAACCTTGGAAAGGATAGTCGTATTATGATGATGTTTCAGGAGCGAGAATGATGTGGAGGAGAAGAATAAGGACTCAGAGGAAGACGCACCGGTGCGGCAGCGACGTCCTAGTCTACCTTCCAAGTAAGTTGGAATACAAAAATGCAATGTAATATGGAACAGTCAATTTTGTGGAGGTGATATAATACTGGTTCGTTGATCTTAGGAGCAGTGAGAACAACGATTTTGAAAATGATAGACAAGATGCTCGTTCGACTGGAGAGGAGAATTCACCAACGACCAAATCCAGGTTGAGGAATCATTTTTAGAATCCTTGCATTTATAGATTTCTCAAGTCCAACCAAATCCCTCAAGCCTCAAATACCAAGGACACAGCTCTAACAATTAAGAAGTCGCTGCATAATGACATTACTAGAGTCCCACATCACTCCCCAAATCCATAAACTTCTAACTTGTTTAAGTCCCAAATGACCACATCCTTAAATCAGTAGATCTCCAAATCCCTAAAGTCTCAACCTGTCTAAATTCCAAATCAGTTGATCCCTAAATTCCTAAACTCCCAAGCTGCCTAAATGCCAATTAGTAGATCTCCAAATCCCTGAACTTCTAACTTGCTTAAATCCCAAATAACCACATTCTTAAATCAGTAGATTCCCAAATCCTCAAACTCCTAAGCTGCCTAAATCCCAAATCAGTAGGTCCCCAAATCCCTAAACTCTCATACTACCTAAACTCCAAATCAGTAGATCCCCAAATCCCTAAACTCCCAATCTGCCTAAACTCCAAATCAGTAGATCCCCAAATCCTTAAACCTCTAACTTCCCTAAATCCCAAATAACCACATCCTCAAATCCATAGATCCCTGAGTCCATAGATTCCTAAATCCATAGATCTCTAAATTCATAGATTCCTAAATCCATAGATCTCTAAACCCATAAATCCCTAAATCCATAAATCCCTAAATCCATAGACCCCTAAATCCATAGATTCCTGAGTTCATAGACCCCTAAATCCATATATCCCTAAACCCATAAATCCCTAAACCCATATATCTCTAAACCCATAAATCCCTAAATCCATAAATCCCTAAATCCATAGATCCCTGAGTTCATAGACCCCTAAATCCTTAGATCCCTAAACCCATAAATCCCTAAATCCATAGATCTCTAAACCCATAGATCCCTAAACCCATAAATCCCTAAATCCATAGATCTCTAAACCCACAGATCCCTAAATCCATAGATCCCTAAACCCATAAATCCCTAAATCCATAGATCCCTAAACCCATAGACCCCCAAATCCATAGATCCCTAAATCCATAGACCCCTAAATCCATATATCCCTAAATCCACAAATCCCTAAATCCACAGACCCCTAAATCCATAAATCCTTAGGTCCACATACTCCCAAGTTACCTAAGTCCCTTTCCCCATAATTCCCACATCCCCAAAGTCCCTTCTACATCCCCAAATCAAAACCTCCCTTTCACCAACACTTAACGTCGCCTTAACCACGCAGGTACGTCAGCGTACAAAGGTTCAGAAGCACCACCCCCCAGCCTCCGGAAGCCTCCGAAGCCCCCGTCAGCCAGGAGCCCACCACCGAACCGGCCTCCACCACCCAATCTCCAAAGCTCGACGAAAAAATCGCCATAGGCTCAACAACCGCCTCATCAGTCCTCTCGATCGCAGTTTCCCCAACCCCTCACGACCTCATCGACCCCGAAACGGAGTCCATCTTGAACTTCACGAGCACCGAATCGGTGAAACTCGTCGACGACTCCGCGACAGAGATTCTTTTGACCACTGCTCCCGCGAGCTCCACGTCGAGCAGCCGAGTCAGCGCGACCGTGTCTCAGCCAAGGCCGTTCGGTTTCAATCGAAGAAACCGGCCGTCGGAGTCCACCACCCCGCTGCCGAGCGATCAAAGGCCCAAGGTGAGTATATCTCGGAACAGCTCGCGAGCGTCCTTCTTGGCAGGACGAGGTCGGTTACGATCGAGACAAGAAACCGAGGCTCGAAACGAGCCCGAAACGCGTGGACGAACGAGGAGCAGGGGCGTCAGCAAGTTCACGGAGGCGAATCTTGTGGGCAAAACGGAAGCCTCGACGGAGCCTCCTCGGAGGAGGTTCCGGAGACCCACTTCTAGGACCACGACTGAGGCGATTAGGAATGAAGCGGTCAGATCTAATGAATTGGAGGACAGCCCCATTGTTAGGATAGGACAAGGCTCCGCGAGAAGGAGCCCGCCATCGAGGTCTAGGAGTGTTGTCAAGGACGAGGACGATAGGATCACCAATATCAAGGTCTTTAGGAAGCCTAACAGGACCAGGTACACCAGGAAGAGGAACGACTTGGAAGACGTCGCGTCTTCGACGACGGTTTCGACCTCGGCGCCTTCGACAATTAGGACTACACCCTCCACGTTTACTACGCCTTCGACTCTCACAACGCCTTCGACGTTTACTACACCCTCGACGCTGACTACGCAGTTAACGACGCTTACAACGTCCCTGACGACGTCGGAGACCAACGTCCCAACGACGGAGTCCACAGACGAGTTGGACTCGATTGCAACCGTGGAGCCCACGACCGAAGAGTCGGTTCAGACCACGGAGTCCATACTGGAGAACGAGGTGGTGACCCTGGAAGACCGATCGAACGCTACGGACGTGTCAGAGGAAGCGACAACAGTGGAGAGCGAGTTCGACCCCAATGTGATCAGGATCGTCTTCCCAACAACCGAGGAGCCCGCTCAAGAGGCAAAGAACTCCACAAAGAGGAGGAAGGTCCTCCTACGCAAACGACCTGTGACCACCACACCGTCATGGGAGGAGAAGGCTCACCGCAGGAGGAAGGTGATCAAACGCGTCAGACCCGTCTCCTCTACAGAGGAGATTCTGCTGAGGTTCAGTACGGTTCCTGAGTCTACAGAGACTCCAAGGATCGACCTCTCGACGACTGACTACGACTCCACGATAGTCACCTTGGAAACGCCTACCGGTTCGACTGATGGAACTGACGTCACTATGGCGTCTACGATACTTGATAACCTTACGGAGACGGAGGAGGAGACTACCTCTAACTTCTTGATTAATGTCACTGAGTTGGATAATGCGTTGACGGAGGTGAGTGGGCAGCTTGAGACTTTGCCCACTGCTGTTTCGACTACTGTGACCCCGGCTAGTAGGAGGTTGGAGAGCTATGAGGGCACGTACTATGTGGACTCTAGGTACGTGAGGAAGAAGTTCGTGCGGAGGCGACCGGTCACGGAGGGCGATCGAGCGACCTCTGGGGAGAGGAGTGTAGAGAAGGTTGACTCGGAGAGGGCTGTAGAGAAGGGTGGCAGGGAGAGGACTGTAGAGAAGGGTGGCAGAGAGAGGACTACAGAGAAGACCGACTCAGAGAAAACCTCTACAGGGAAGATCGACTCAGAGAAGACCTCTTTAGAGAAGGCCGACACGGAGAACGCAGTCAAACGCAGGAAGGGTCTCTTCGTGCGCCGCAGACCCGTCTCCACCCCCCGACCCGAGAGCACAGCAAGAGAGCTCTCCTCCCCAGAGGAGACCAAATCCGACGAGTTAGAAAAAGACACAAAGAACGAAGACTCGGTTTACACCGACCTAACCAAGAGCGACTCCGACGAGTTCTGGGGTCGCTTCACGACGCGCAATCAGCCCCCCATCGAGGAGAACCCCACCGGCTTCGAGACAACCGAGTTCCGCCCTCGATACCAGGTCCCCGACTCTCTGAAGAGGATGGCCGACTACCCAGAGGACTCCAGTAAGAATCGACAACCGAGAACTCGGTACAAGTACCGTGAAATAACGAGGTCCCGCAGCGGGGAGATAGTGGACGCCACTCCGTCACCCAGTAGTGAGTCACAACACCTCAGGAGCAGGTTCTACGCCAGACGGCCGGCCTCCACGGAGCCTCCTGTCACGGAGACCCTCATCCCTGCTAAGAAGTTCGACTACGTCGCGGACGCCCATAGAAGGCAGACCTTGAGGAGCGGTCGTTTGAACGAGGACTCGAAGAGCAAGGAAGGGGAGAATCTTGTGGAGGCCGAGTACGCAACGACGCCTGCTATGCATCCTCTGGTGACCCGACTGGTGACCTCCGTGGAGGAGTCGGCCACCACGGAGAGGCAGAAGATTCTGATCAAGACCAAGTACTCGTCGCTGACGTCCACCACGAAGATTCCTCTGCAAGGTCGAGCGAGTGCGAATGTCGAGAACAAGGAAGCGAAAGAGGAGGAGGCGAACGAAGTCCGAGAGAGCTCCACGCTGCCCATAGAAGGGTTCCTTTCGCGCGCCGGTCGCTTCACCACGGAGTCGCACGAGTCGTCGACGATCGAGATCGAGTCCGTGTTCAGCAACCTGATCGGCAGCAGGGAGTGACCCTCATCATCTAACCGTGTACATAGATCATTCTCATCATCATCATAATCATTAAGGAGAGCCGGGAGATCGTGCACGTCCGTGGTCTTCTCTTCTCTCTCTTCTCCTTCGAGACGGACTGGACACGCCGAGAAAGAGAGACAGCGAAGAGAAAGATTCGGAGGTCGTCACTAAGCGCGCTACCCTCTGATTTTCAGGTCGCCGGCTCTATTAGGCTACCCACCCTCAAGGATCTGATCGGATATCGCTACGATCCATTGCTTCCGGAAAGCGGGGTGAAAGACGCGAATCGCGATGTCGGCAAGGAGAGATCGAACGAACTCGATTTGATTGATAAGATAGATTACGAGGACGGATTCGCTGACCGGAAGAGGATCGATCGAAGAGACTCGCTCGATACGGTACCTACGACCATGCGGGGCATTCCGCTCGAGGAGCTGCGCCCTAAAGTCACTCGCGGATTTTATATCACCAAGAGAGAACCGAATGTTACCGACTCTACGGAAAGTACGGGCGATGTTCTAACTTCCACTGAAATGACGGTGACGGATTCGGAGAGTTCTGATGCATCGATTTTGAACGAAACGAACCCTGAAAAGACACCGGAGATATCCACGTATGAGACTGAATCGGCTGAGTCCGCCGATCGCTCGGACCTGACGAGTCCGACCGAGTCGAGTTCGGCCGAGACGAGTCCGACCGAGTCGAGACGGACCGAGACGAGTCC